AAATAAACAACCAAACCCCACCCTCCTTTCCTTGCACCGCTGCACACTTTCTCAATCTGATCATCCAGTTATTAAACGCCATCTTTTTTTTTTACTTTTGGTATGTTGTTCATACACTGGTAAACTGCACCTCATAACACAATGCAGTTTTTAAATCGTCTGCCCCTCTGTGAATCTTTGATAAAGGGACTGAGTCAGGGCTATATGGAAAATATAGCAAATTTGGGATACTAAACTCTTTTAGGCAGTCTAGCCCGAGTCGGATTTATGTGCCGTTGCTTTGTCATGGAGTAGATGGATACCTCGGGTTCCAGTGCACGGACAGATGCTTCCGTAGTGTTTCACATATTCTAGCAACACTTTGGAGGTAAAAAGGGTCCAGTGATACTAGCAGTCAAATATAGGTACCAGGTCTAATGGTCTTTTACATAGCAAAATATTCATATCAAAAAGTCTTGACAGACTGACTACGTCGAACAATTTGTGGTCTAGGTTCTTTTTCTCCGACACTAATATTTTTTTTATTCTTTTCTTGAGTCGGGTTCAACAAAAAAACCCCCACGTTTATCACCTGTGAAAATATATTCAAAAGTCTTTGGTTACTCTTTTTACTTTTGCCCTTTATAATGCAGGCACTTCCCAGTCACCAATCGCAGATAAAGGTCTTCCAGAACATCGGTCAATTTCCATGAATTTGCGGCCATATTTACAATGATCACACCACCTCAAGACTGAAGAATATGACATAAAATTACATCTATAAACTTCGTCCGATTGGCCTTGATATCGATCAAAGCGCGGATTTTGATGTATGCTCTTTGCTCTGTATCAAAATTGTTCCAATGGCACCGGTGGCGTAGTGATTGGAGCATCCAACTCGGATGCGGGAGGTCGTAGGTTCAAACCCAGGCCAAGTCATACCAAATACTTTAGAAAATGTTACTAACATCTGCCTCGCTTGGCGTTCAGCATTAAGAGGTTAGTATTAAGATTGGTGGGCCTGGTGTCAGGATAATGTGGCTGGGTGGGACACACAAAACACAGAATTGTTCGCCGTCGAATTTTTAGATCACTGTCATTCACTTATGTTACGGCAAATGCATACATCTACAATTGTCCAGCGGCTGCAATTTATAGTTGCAGACCTTTATATAGAACTGCATTTTTTTTTATCGATGAGCTTTACATTTATTGCCAAATTCAAAATAAAAAAATCCCCCATCCCATAATGCAAGAGTCAGAACTTTTCAAATACATTTACTATGTGGAGCAGGAGCATATTAAAAAAAAAACAAACAAAACAATGCGGGGAATACATTTTAAAACGTATGTCAAAAAGTCGATGACATCTCATACTTTGTATCCGTGCAATAAAATGCGTACACTTGTAAAATCGAATAGAGGCATTGTATTGTCACATGGAATATGTCAAAAAGTCGATGACATCTCATACTTTGTATCCGTGCAATAAAATGCGTACACTTGTAAAATCGAATAGAGGCATTGTATTGTCACATTGAATATCTCGGTTTTAATACGAATCTTTTTAAAATATTTGTTTTAAAGATTTTGAAGCTATTACTTAATTGTTTTAAAGAATTTTCCATGTTTGCTAAATCAGCTGATACAAACACAGTTTACAGAGGACAAACTTTTGAGGGTTCACAAACATGGAGTAATGAAATTTGATTGAATCTGTAAATTGTCTTCAAGGTAAGTGAAATGTGCCATCAATCTAAGAACTTAGAGAAAAAATGAACTTTGTCAAGTGCACACAAATAAAGGCAACATGGCATCAAAAGAAAATGTGTGAAGTGTTTAATCTGAAGCAATGTTATCTCGATGAATGAAGTTTGAGTTTTTCGTTCTAAAGTGTTCTCCAAAAGATCCATAATTGTACACATGCTCGTCGGTAATCCTTTATGAATCATAATAATTATAAAATTATCGTACCATCAGGACTTCTGGAAAAAACATAACTCAAAGATCGATAAAAAATTTCACCGCGATGCAAATCTAGCAATCGTACAAGTTTATTTTGGAGCAAAACTCAAAATAATTAATAATGGAATAATGAAATAAACTAATCAAATACAAAGTCAATTTATGACATAAACAAAAAAGAACACACGTTTCAAACATTCTTTTAATTTCATTTACTCTCTCTCTCTCTCTCTCTCTCTCTCTCTCTCTCTCTCTCTCTCTCTCTCTCTCTCTCTCTCTCTCTCTCTCTCTCTCTCTCTCTCATGTTCCAATTATTTTCCAATCATCAGGCACTTTATATAAGAACCTGTTAGGAAAATGACCGAAGGCATCCATCCTTATGGTATGGATGCCGATCTTCGTCAATTGCAAATTTGGGACATAATTATGTCAAACCTCATTAGTATAAAAGGTGATTTGGCCCAAAAACGCGCGAGCGCGCGGGTGTGTGTCTGTGTGTGTGTGTTTGTGTGTTTTGTGTGTGTGTTTGTTATTTGATTTGGACTTGTAACGTATCTTTAACTTTTTTTCAGTCATATTGCTATAATCTCTACAGTGCGTCTGTTTATAGTTATGTCTTCCGTTGGAGCATTGTGCCGTAGACATGTAGCATCATGTCCCACCCAGTGACATAATCGGACACCAAGCCTACCAGTACCAGCACTAACCTCTTAATGCTGAGCGCCAAGCGAAGCAGCTGGTATTACCATTTTTATAAGTCTTTGGTATGACTCGGCCGTTAATCGAACCCACGACCTCCTGCATCTGAGTCGGACGCTCTAACTACTAGGCCACCGAAGCGATCTAAGTCACGTGGTACAACTGACATTATTCAACATTCACATCATGTTGAAAATTCATTCAGTATTAAAAAAAATATTGTATGAAGATTATTTCAAATTCATACCTCCTTTATGACCTTTAGTTCATCAAATTCGGAAAAATCAATTTCATTCCTCTATTTTGCGATGTTCTCAATGTAGTGACCATGCGAGGATTCGAGGCTCACGGGAGCAGTACTCTTCAGTGGCGCCCTTACAATGCGACAGAGAACAGTTTTTTTTTTGTGCCAGTTGCCAACAACCCTCCTCCTTCTGAATATGAGTTTTGTCAGCAATTTCCCCGTTGCACTAATGTGATGAACAATGCTATGAGAATATTAGCTAAAAATAATAAAGAAAACTTCTGACAGCGCTTCATTTCCCCTCTACCTGGCGTCTAGAGGAAATCCCCCCCCCCGTCTCAGTGTAGGGTTCTGTAGGGATAGCTTAAATTACGTGAAATTAGTACAACTATGGCAAATGGAAGAAAGCAGCGACAAAAAAAAAATACTTCAAGACAAAGTGCAATATTTATTGTTCTTGATCAATACAAATCATTGTATTAATCTACTTCATGGTTGTCTTTTCTTGATGTCTTATTTAAAAAAAAATAATTGTAGTCTTCCACTGACGTTAACATGTTAAGCATAGTTCAGAATCGTCAGTTCTATGTACGTAAGTGTGTTAATACAATATAGAGAAACAAGCGGAAAGTAAGAATCAGAAAGTGAGTGACTTTGAAACCTTACATAACTTAAAAAGTCCGCATTTGTTTTCATTAAAGATTTCTACTGATTTATTTAGGTCGGTTTGGCAGATGACCAAAGCTAGTTCTGTTGTAGAATTCAAACGAATGTGGCACGAAAACAACTGAAACACCACGGTTTTCGTTTAGGTATAACTGCTTTTATACTACGACCAACAAAATCTTTGTCGCAGTATTATCTGCACCTGATACGTAAATGAAGTTGACGTATACCCCCTCCCCAATCCTAACAAGAAGTTTCTATCGTAGAGATCATAGTGTAGGGAATTTATAGTGGTCAAATAGACTAATACCACACCTTCGGTCAGTTTGTCTTTTATAGACTGATAGAAAATAAAAAAAAACAAACAATGATAATTCATGCATAGAAATTCAATCAAATATTGATCATTCAAACGTAGTATCAACACCTACGTTTGAATGATCAATATTTGATTGCATTTCTATGCATAAATTGTCATTGTTCTATGTAAGTGTACTTTCGAACTTTTATATTAGATAAACCACATTAGAAAATAGAGAAAAGGGAGAAAACCAAAAAAATATTTGTAAAATTCGACAAATAATTTATTTCCCTGGTATACAATGTAAAATCTAAAATGAACTTATAGTATTGCGAAATAAAGCCCAAATAGTCCCAGGAAATTTATAAAAAGTCCAAATATATTAAAGTTTCAACTTAATTCCAGTGATATTCCAAATAAGCTCCAAAATTGAATGTGATGACGTGCCTGTAGTCTGGAACTTGGTAATGGGGCAATGGTCTTAAGTGTGATGATGTGTCATCAGGCATTTGCTATATCAGAATAATATAATCTCAAAATGTCTTTATCCGAGATCACTATAATTCCAAATTAGCGTATTAGAGATGGACACTTTGTATTTCTGGAGAATAATATTTTGAATAAATAATTCCACCAAAATGAAATATTAAACACAGTAATTAGAATGTTTTTGCCTCAAATGTCAAATGCAAGAATTAATAATTTCTTTCGTAAATAACATTATATAAAGAGCTAAGACACAAGTGGAAACAGAGCGAGTGTAAAAACTTCATTTCTAGAATATTCTAAGTTGTCAACAAGATTAAATCTGTTACTAATATTATAATAAAATAAACATAGAAACGTCTGATGCAACTAGTTCTTAATTGGGGAATTCCAATGTCCTAGACTAGGAACCAAATAAACATGGTAACTGCCATTTATAATAATTATAATATTTCACCCACACTCGTAGAAAAAAATATTAACTTTGTATTACAAGATAATAGTCACTGGTTTATATAAAATGAACTGGTTTTATGACAAGATCAAGTCCAAATACAATTATAAATAAAATATAACCATGGAGAAAAAAACTTGCAAATACAAAGCAGATAAACATAACAATTATACAATATGTTTGTTGCTCTTATTTACCAATCTACCGCTATAGTGGCCTAGTGGTTAGTGCGTCCGCCTCGGATGTAGGAGATCATGGGTTCGATCCCCATCAGAGCCATACTAAAGACTTATACAAATGGTAATAACAGCTGCCTCGCTAATATCTCGGCATTAATAGGTTAGCCTGGTGTCAGTATAATGTGACTAGGTGGGACATCATGCCACATGTCTGCTAGACATAACTATAAACTGTCACACTGCAGACATCGTAGTGATATGACTGAATTTTTTTTAAAAACTTCGTTAAAATAGTCCAGATAAATCACACTCACAACCGGAAACCAAGCTGTAATCAAGGGAAGTAATTCTGTTAGTAATTTAGACTATTCAGTGATTTTAACTGTACATTTCCAGAATTTGGTTGAAGCATGGTTTAACGGAGAAATGGATTTTTAATTTTTAATTTCACAGAATATCGTAGAAGATTCATGAAAAGTTGCAATTATACTTTCATTAAAGGACATGATTTTACTATCACATTATACATATTTGTGGCGGTAACAAATTCAAGCATCTTCCTTTTCTCTTTTCTCTCTGTCAAATCACAACAGGAATATTCACAACGCCTGCAGAAGATACCGCGTGTGCGCATATACGCTTGTAAAAGTCGCGAAACATCTGACGCTCGTTTATTTTGAAAGCTGGAGTAATGGTCTATGAAATTTTCAGACAGATTTTTCTAATTTAAGTAATTTTCTTGATGGTACAGTGTTATAGTACATCTGTTGAATGAAATAATGCGCATCGTAATTATTTCAGTATGCATATTCCAAAATGGTGGGTGGCGTTAAACTGAAAGAAAAGTCTCGCTAAACATAACTTCTGGAGAAAGTGAACTATATTGCTTTTTAACGATTTGTTTCATTTCAAAGTAAGTGAGCTTTTAAATGGGGTGTAAAGCTATAAGTGATCTTCTCTAAATTTAATGATTAATAATTCATGAAATAAAAAATTGCATATTCAACGAAATCTTGGTAATCACCATGAGTAATGCATGTCTTATATACGTGTACGTGTATCCTGTTTTATGTAATAGTTGAAATCTAAAAAAAGAATTCCCTGCGTAATATGCCAACTATGAACAAGTTGTAATGATGTTTAAAGATGTTATTATTAGTTGAACAATATCATAAGATTCATCAGATTTTGCTATCTAGAACACTTTTTAAAACACAAACTTCATTACCATGGTAACTACATCATTAATCCCTTTAAACAAAATGTGATATGAATGCTACCCGCATGTTTGTTTATCTCCTCTACTTTGTACTCCTGTTGAATGGAATAAACACTGTATTGTATTGTGTTGTGTTGTGTTGTTCTTATTACATTGCATTGCATTGTATTGTATTGTATTGTATTGTATTGTATTGTATTGTATTGTATTGTATTGTATTGTATTGTATTGTATTGTATTGTATTGTATTGTATTGTATTGTATTGTATTGTATTGTATTGTATTGTATTTTTTATTGTATTGTATTGTGTTGCATTACATTCAATTACATTGCATTGCATTATATTGTATTACATTGAATTGCATTGCATTGCATTATATTGTATTACATAGCATTGTATTGTATTGTGTTGTGTGTATTTATTGTATTGTATTATATTGTATTGTATTGTATTGTATTGCATTGCATTACATTCAATTGCATTGTATTGTATTGTATTGTATTGTATTTTATTGTATTGTATTGTATTGTATTGTATTGTATTGTATTGTATTGTATTGTATTGTATTGTATTGTATTGTATTGTATTGTATTGTATTGTATTGTATTGTATTGTATTGTATTGTATTGTATTGTATTGTATTGTATTGTATTGTATTGTATTGTATTGTATTGTATTGTATTGTATTGTATTGTATTGTATTGTATTGTATTGTATTGTATTGTATTGTATTGTATTGTATTGTATTGTATTGTATTGTATTGTATTGTATTGTAATTATAATTGTATTGTATTGTATTGTATTGTATTGTATTGTATTGTATTGTATTGTATTGTATTGTATTGTATTGTATTGTATTGTATTGTATTGTATTGTATTGTATTGTATTGTATTGTATTGTATTGTATTGTATTGTATTGTATTGTATTGTATTGTATTGCGAATTTTCTTTGTTCAAGTAAAATGGGCACCTTAATGAGCATAAAAGATCTGAGCAGTTGACGTAGTTTTATTGGCATATTTTTCCTACCCTCTTTTAGTGTCAATGTAAAGTGCGCCACGATGGATATCACTGATCATAACCGTTAACGTACATAATACCTATAATTCTGTGAATACATGATGATACCAGCGTTTTTAAGTAGGTCTATGGAAATATTTAACAAGTGACACTATAAAATGTTTCTTAACAAAACGTATTGTTATTGCAAACCAATCGATTTGCAAGGATTTTTGTTTTCCCATTCTGAGTCATTGCGATTAACTGCTGCATCGATAAAAAGAAGTGTCGAAATTTTATTACAGATTTAGCACAGCGACATTTAATACATTTAGCTCGTGCATATAATGCTTCAAATAGTTTGCCGTCCGATAATGACTGTTTTTATGCCAAAACGAAGCGATTCTTTTCTTCAAATTTCTGTTAACACATTCTTGCGCGGATTGATACAGTGAACATATTGTTGGGGTGAGGGTATTGCAGAAACATCACAGGGTAGTCGCATTCATCTTTAAACAAACTACTTGAATCATTGTGTTTTTATATGGATAGAGGTCCATTATGTTTTGGTTAGTTCTGTATTAGACGTGAGTTGTGTGTACTTCACAAGCTTGCAGTCTACTTCAGTAATATATGCTGCACGCATATGTCGACTATCATTTAATTTTAATCAACGCTCAGTCCGGACCTTTTAGTCTGTTTGGCCTAAGGCACCACTATGGTAACGGGGCCAAAATATAGAGTTACTATAGCAGCGCGGTTTTTTTTTGTTGTTTTTTTTTTTTTCTTTAAATCAATTGGAGAGCGGGGTTACCGAATACGCAGGGACCAAGCAACCGCATTGCTCGCCCTGACTTTAAGCCGGTTCTGTCACCTCCGACTTCTCCATTTTCAAATATGATCTATAACAGTTATGAGATCCAAAACCTCTATTTAAGCCATGCAATTAATATATTTAATCAAGAGTGTTTCCTAATAATAGGTTCCGTTTTGTCGTAGAATGTGGCTGGTGGTTGATATTATATGGTTATCTCAGAAATCGGAATAGCGGCAGGTCATGTACATTCGATGACAATCGGCATGATTCCTGTGGAAAACTAATTAATCGGAACGAAAATACATGAAGCCTACCTTTCCTTGTTGGAACTAATTTCTGGGTATTTGTTAGTGGAGTCTCCTCAGTGTTTACGTATTATGCTTAGGCCCTGAAGGGGGTAGGCCTACACAGGTAGTCAGGACTATATACTCAGGAAATTTAGGAGTATCTAAAAAAGCCACAGACTTTGAAAATTTCATCGTAAATTTTCTTTTTGCCAAGAAGATGCCCCTCCCCCCCCCCGGCCAACAGGGACTTTGTGCTCCTAAGCACAATTGTCTTTAATCTTGATACATTTTATGATACGTTTATTTTGATTGAGAGAGCGAGGAAGTTGGCAAAGCAAGCAGAAAATGAAATAGGCCTACGTATATAAGTTTGAATGACATACATATAGGCAGATATATTTCCTAATGAGAAAAGAATGTACAGATTCACTGTAATTTCAAAAGTGATACTGTCATTTTTGTACCACTAAGACATTTCAACATCTCAGTATAAAATTTATAATAAATCTCAGTAGGAAGTACTTGTTGATTCAATGAAAAAATAATTTGTATTACTAAAGGTAATCTTTTGGTGACCGTGACATAATTTAGGTCAGCTGAAAAATACTGCACATACTGTTATATGCCGATGTTACAGAGCCTTCCCCTTCCGTACATTTTTCATCAAACAAAAGGTAGTTTTTCGATCAAAAATAAAAAAGTGCTTTAGGAACAAATTGACATTCCATTTAGAAAGCCAGTTTTCTCAAGGTCCGAACGACTCCAGAGCTATATTTCTGAAGAAAAATACTGTATTGAACCATTTTTCTTCCACTTCCACAATGAACTATATAGGTTGCGGTTTTGATTGTTTTAGGTTTTTTTTCCCGAACGGTTTGACCTATTTAGTTGTCACTATTCGAAGATTGTGGGGGATATATTTTTTTTTGGACTCAACCCCTCAAGAAATAGGACAAATTACTTACATACAATAGATATACTAGACCGAGTCATTAATAACCCTACAAACGATTCATACGCACAATAAGGATAGTGACAAAAGTATACCTTTATTGCACTCAGATAATGGAAAACGTGCAAAGAACGAAATAGCCTGTTAAAGCAATACAAACTAAAACAAGAAATTCCGACACCAGCTGAAAGTTGTTTGTGACAGGTTAATTTCTGATGAGGTTTACTTTTCATAAGTGATGTTGCTGAATGCAAACCGCTTTAGAACTATCAATCATACACGGAAGTTTGAGGGAGAAGAATGGACGGAACCGCGAATTCTTTGCTTCCCGCTTTACAAAAAGGCAATAAATACAAAATGGGGGAAAATACTGCGAGAAAATGTTTGCTCGAACACTGAAGAAAGTTCACGCATAAAAGCTACTTGGCAAAATATATGCAAATATAGACAGTGTAAATAAATTTGAACTTTATTAAAAGTGGATGTTTTCTTTACGTTGTCGAAGAATACTCGATGCGAACAAACAGGGAAATCGGAAGAAGGAAATCAGTGCAAAGTAATTGTCTCCGGAGGCATCGGAAACGGCTTCGGCATGTTGGGGAAGGTAACATTTTCAGAGCATTTTTTTTCTCCTAGGGGAAAATGGTTTGAGATTAGTTTCGTTTTGGGAAAAATATACGCTGGAACCAGTCTTTGAAGTGGTATTGAGAGTTACTTTCAGCAGTTTTGTTTGTGGTGGTGTGTGATTAGCACAGGGGAAATATTTTCGCCGACCACTGGATATTAGCAGTTATGCTCGTCATTGAAATAAACTTTACACAA